AGACCAGAAGTAGTTTTTAAGTAGTTACCTACCTTTTCAGCGAAGCTTTCTGATACAAGATTTGTTCACTTAAAGAAAAATGTGAGTTCCTTCAGCATTAAAGGATGAAACTTTTTTATCACTTCCCAACCATCAAAAATTAAAGTTAGATATATCATAGTATCTATCTTAAAATATTAATCAAGGCGAGAAGAGATATAAAAGGTTCATGCTTGATTTAAAAGGAACACCATCATTTATAAAGATTTCTCTTGTAAAGGGAAGCCAGGAACAGAAACGAAAAGGCAAAATCAAAAGGAAAATAAAACCGTGGCTTTTCAACTCTCCTACATGGAGTTTAAATTATTGGGGGGTGAGGGGGGTGCAGAATATCAAAATCCACCCGGTTGAACTTCCCCCCACCTTCTCTGGGAGAATTGCCTCACAGGCCAGTCAGCTGAGCCTGGAACTGCTTGCATAAATCACGAGTCCACCGGTGGCCCTAGTGTCTTTTGTATCTTTCCATATCAAATGATGATTTCATTTCAAGCCATTTGCTTTGGATGAAGATGAAAGCAACAACAGCAAAAATCTGAAATGACCACCACAGGCACTGGGGGCAACTGCAAAGGAAAAGAACCACAAACCAAAGCAGTAACTTACGGTAGCTACTTTCGCTATCGCTGGCATTAGAAGAAACATGTTCTGCAAGAACAGCACAGCAAATTAAAGAGATACCAAGCATTGGCGGGCAGCCAGGACTTAAAGGCATACACTCATGCAAGGCTTCTAGAAGTGTGAGCAAAAGGCAAGTAAAAGGCTGCGGAGGAGAACGCATTAAGAAAACACAGATAAGATAAAAAAGATGAAAACTTTATCTCCATTTTATAGGAAACTACTACTTGATTGCTGTGTCTTCTTTTTATTTATTATTATTTTTTATTCCTCACCTGAGGATATTTTTCTACTTATCATAAGACAGAGTGGGAAGGAAGGAGGGAGAGAGAGAGAGACAGAGAGAAACATTGATGTGATAGAGCCACATCGATTGGTTGCCTCCTGCACAACCCAACCAGGGCCGGGGACGAACCGCAACCCAGGCACATGCCCTTGACTGGAATTGAACCTGCGACTCACTGGTCCATGGGCTGGTGCTCTAACCACTGAGAAAACCGGCCAGGGCTGTATCTTCTTTTTAGGAAAGTATATTTAATTATAGAAAAAAAGTATGATGTCAATTTAAGCACTTTTCTTTTTACAAATACTTTGACTTGTTCCTAGGGGTCTGATTTTCCAGATTAGTGTTACTCAAGTCAATGTGTAACATCAGCTGGATGTTTCTTGACTCTTAAACTAAGGGGCTTCTACACTGGCAGTTTCTTGCAGGCTTTTTGTGTCTCTATTTTTGCCTTTAGGTATTTTGCAGGAATACTGCATTTCAAATTGCCAGTTGATCCCTGGAATCCTTTGGATTTTATTTTGTTTAAATACTTCCTAAACTCAATCTCAGGAACGAAAGGGATTGCTGGAGCTCGTTCCTGCTTCAGTGACTGAACAGAAAATCTTGGAAGGAGAAATGAGTCACTGAAAATGTTTTATGAATTAGTTCAATATTTCCTTGTTTTTATGCTAAGATTCTTCTTCGGATGGTATTAGGTTCTGGAAGAATGAAACAGGCAGGAGATAAATGAGCTAATACCAAGCAGGTCCTGGAATGAAGTATGTTTTTAATTCATGTTGAATGACTCACTTGTACAGTGGTATTTCATATTTTAAAAAATAAAACACAGTTTAGCTCACATAACAGGGATGTATGTGACAGAATTAGAGCTTTTATTTGCAAAATCATATCCTTTCATCTATACTATATTTTAAATTATAGAAGATAAATTTATCAGTTTATTGACTGCTTTCTATATTAGGTTAATTAAATGAACAATATGTGACTGTTTGATGTCTAAAGCTTATTAGCAATATCATTAGCTTTTTAAAAAGTGACAGCTACTGCACATTTTTAGAAAAAGAAAAATAATATATAACATTATTCTCTAATGGTAAAACTGTGCTTTAAAATGTATTTGATGGTATAGATTCTTGCCAATTGAATGGATTTGTTTTCTTTATTTAGCTTTAACTGAGGTATAACTGACAAATAAAACTGTAACACCTTTAAAGTGTACAATATAATGATTTGACACATGTATAAACACTGGGAAATGATCCGAATTACTTAACACATCTGGAATGGGTTAGTTTGAGTGTGAAAGGAATAAAAACCAAAGCATGGGTTAAATTCACGTGAATCCTTTCTCTTTGTATTGGTGTACGGCCAGCACTATTGCTAATTTAGGCACACACTTCACACATGCACCAGGCCACCAGGGAAAGTGTGGATAAATCAGTGCAAATTTGTTTCTGTTGCTGAAAAAAAGTCACAGCATACACCCATCAATGGTTCATCTTAATGCACATGATTATCTTAAGTACTCTGAGTTGGGAATGTCAGTGTTTTTTGTTTGTTTGCTTTTGATTTTTACTTCTAAAAATAATTTTGAATGAAGCTACACTATCTATGGAGAAATTTAGGACCATGCAATGTTTATTTGACTAACAATCACCCTCAGCATTAAGACACTGTATAACAGAATCTTTGTAGGTAAAAGGAAATTAAAAATGTGTTCCAGCTAACGTCCAAATTATGGCTAACAACAGCATTGTTACTGGCAAATGATGTCACCTAGTGAAATCTATTCAATTTTTTAGAATAAGAAAACATTAGCACATTCCAGATTTAAAAGGGCATCACTCACATTTTTGACACTCGGATAGCACCTACATTTTTAGTGTTGTTCATTTATTAGCAATATATTAAAATGCTTCCGTCTTCCTTCTCACCTGAAAATTTAGAAACTCTCTCTGGTGGTATCCAGATAATGTTAAAATCAATATTTGAACTTCAGCCACTAATTCAAGAACAATGTCATGACTTGTTCCATATAGAGACTCAAAGATAAAGTTTTCATCTTTAAGGAGATCAGTAGTTTACTCTTGATCAGATTTTGTTTTCTATATATATGTAGCTAAAAAAAAAAAAAAAGTCCAAAGTAACAATTTGAAGGATGAAGGGTATCATTATGCAGTGTTATATAAACAGCTCTTGAAAACAAAGTTCAGCTCAATGTTATTTTGTTTTATACAAATGAAATGAACAGCTTCTAAAAATATTGCCCATAGCTGTTAAATTAAAACAAAACAAAACAAACAAAAATTGAACATGTGATACAGTTGCAAAAGACACAAAACTCTGTTCTTATTTCACTGGTGCCAAATGGAGTTAGTACTAAAGAAAGAAAAATCATAGCACAGTATATTAATATACAAGGTTATTTTTTTATCGCTGAGTGTAATGAGACACAGACCAAAGGCATTAATGACTAGAAGATTTAAAGATTTACTATATTTAATTTTCCACTATACAATGAAGACCTGTTATGTAAAGTAGCTAATACATCACTAATAGAACAACATATTAACACATATCTAAAACTCGATCATACTAACATTTCAAGCAGGAGCACTGAAAGTCAGAAAAAATCAATCAAAGTTAATAACAAAGAATTAGTCATGAAAGATCAAAGAGCTTAATAGTTACATTTTGAGAATGCATGTTCCTTTTGACTATAAAATAGCTCCTTTACTAATAGCAAAGTACAACCCGATTATGAAATTTGGCAAGGTCTGGGCGAGAAGGCAGAAGGACAGAAAGTACATTTCTGCTTTCCTGTTCTAGGACATTGAGCTTGCCCTTTCATTCCACATGGCTCCTTGCTCTCTGGGAGGAATTAGGCTGCAGAGCAAGTGATGCCACGGTGGCATCAGGACCATGTTGATCATATCACACTGTCAGAAAGGGAAGGTGTGAATTGCAACAGAAGTTACAGTGCCTGACACACTTGGCTTTTAAATGCTGACATGCAGAACAAAACGGTTGGAAATTACTTTGTAGGAGCATTCACAGCTAGGTAACAAATAAAACTCGTATCTTGTGCATGCTAGGAGGAGAAGGCCCTCAAGAAAAGGAACAAAAGCCAAACTCAAAAGGAAGGGAAAAGAAAAGAAAAGTTACAGTGACCATTCCTGGGAACTTACTCAGAGTCTTTGTTCCATAACCGTCGTCACCTAATCCGGGGATGTCCTGCATGGAAGTCCCCAGAGAGAGCAATGAGAGAGGAAGAACAGCCACGGAAGAGGAAGGAAGAAGTCAGTGGAGTTGAAATGGATACTACCATGACAGACCGTGTTGCCTGAGCAATCTGGATCCCAATCTCTCCTACTTTGAAACAGCTTTCGCCCCAAACTCCCTGGACTGAGACTCAAAAATTTGTCAAGTATCTCAAAAGGTTTAAGCAGAAGACTGTCACAAAAGAGCAAGATTTGGCAGATGCCACTTTTGCCCGTTGTCCAGGTTGCCACAGAAATGTACCACTGAGAGCAGTGATCCATTCCAAGGTTCATGACCAATTCTTAGATTTAGTATCCACCAATACTCGCTCACTGCTCGGTAAGAGTTTAACGTTTGTTGGACGTGAAAGAGTGAACAAATACTATTTATCAATATAAGAAATTCAATCACTTCCAATTAGCTAGCATTCCAAAAAAAACACATGTGGCAATGGAATCCAGTATTTCTGTCCAGAATAGACTTCATCTCAAGCCCTAGAGAGTTGCATGATAGAAAAGGCAAACCAGACTCGGTCCTTGGTCACAGATAAATGCTCTTTGGAAGCGAAGTCCCAACTTCTTCAAGTTCCTCTCCAATGCATTCTGCAAAGAAGAGCCACTCCAAGGGAAGGATCCAGACTGCAGCCAAACACTGGTCACAGTAGTAGGCCCTGACCTGCCTGCCTGCCGTGTTTGTTTGCCTAGGCGTGTGGCATTGGGAGCCTACATCATGCGTGTTGCCGGTGAAGGATTTTTTTCTCTTGTGTTGCACGTGACATTCTCTTTGAGAAGCTACTTACGTTCAGGATCACTGGTTTCCTGCTCACTCTGCTCCTTGTTCTTGTAGAATGGGAATTTTCGTGAAAAGATGAAGCTCTTTTTACGCTTGTCATTGAATGACTGTGAAGGAGAAAAGGCATGGGGCAAAAACAGGGGACGTCTAATTGTTGTCACACTCATGCTGACAAAACAACTAGCTTGTAAAAGCAGAGAGAGCTGTCGTGACGCAAGTGGGTAGTCTAAGGAGGTGCCAGAGGGTCCCTAAAGGCAGATTTTATTTTCAAGGAGTGTAAATTCTGAATGATGACACCTTGGAAAAATTGTATTCTAATTTAATACTTCGTTGTAGAAAAATGATGATGGAGAAAAAGTATTAAATTGAAAACAGAAGATCTAGAGTCTCTGTCTGGCTCAATGACTTGCTAGTCCATCACCTTAGACCCGTAACTGAATCTCTCTGAACCTCAGCATCTTCTTCATTTACATAATGATGATAGAAGCTGTTAAGTTGTGAGACTCATGTAAGGTGGTAGAAATGTAAAGTGCTATACAAATGTTATCTTTATCATCATTATTATCATTAGGTAGAAAATATTTTACTAGGACATTGGACACATCAGTGTTCAGATGTCTTTTTAAATAACTTTAATTTGAGTTACTTCAACTTAGATTTAATTAAAACCACCCAGAAAAGTATAGATTTATTATATATGATATTTACAGCTGTTTCACACATAGATAAATAATTATAGCATAACTTTTATTTATAAGTGATTTTAGAGATAACTAAGCCTCAAGCCTTCATGTGTAGACAGGCGGCAGAGGCACAGAGAGGTTGAGTCCCTTGCCAATACCACAGTTAGCTGGTGACACAATTAACCAAAATCTGTTAAAACTGTTGCTAAAGAGGCATTAACTGGATATTCACTTAAGCAAGGGAGATATAATGGCTACTTATCTGTATCCTGATATGATAAAAAATCATGGAAGAAGGACTGTCCTTAAACATGTAAACCACTTCATTAGCTTAAATGAGGCTAGATTTAAAATAATACATATATACATGATATAATACATATATTAGAACTTATTCATTCAAGTGAATATCAGATGCTTGCCTAGAAGACTCCTTAAAAATTTTCATTTATTCCCATGGTTGCTGTTATGTAAATGCTTTCTGGGGTTCTTCTTTGGGAAATGTGTTCAGTCATTTTACAAGCTATAAATCACTCAAGTCTTACTAATTTCATGTTCACTTATCTTTTAAAAAATATGTTTTGCCAGCTTGATTGTCATTCTTATTTGACTGATTTGGCTCTGAGGGTCACTCTCCAAGGAACAAGACATACTACCATATAGGTATTGCAGTGAATGTAATAGACTGAGAGTAATTTGACGAGGAGTATTTGAAAAGAGTTATATCAATGGCAGCTGGTAGAAATAAATGGAAAGCCAGCAAGGTGACTACTTGGAAGAAAAGAATTTGCTTGTATGTATGTATTTGGGCCCATTGGTCTGAATCAGTTATGGGACCCTACGATTTGAAGCTTGAGAAAATGGTGTAAACATCTTATTTTCCTTGTATATTCATATGCTCCTATATCAACATCCATTTTGGTCATCATGTTCATTTAGGACACATTAAAGTACTAAAATGTTGGTGCTCTCACTTAGTGATTTATTATTTTTTCAGTTACTAGAAATTTTCATCAAAGTCAGGGGAACTTAATTTTATGTATCATTAGGAAGGCTTAAAGAAAAACATTAAGTCAAATATTTAATAATTTCTGAAATTAAGGGACATATTTTATACTCAGTATTCAAGAACTAGAAACACATTCTTGAGGGGTGGGGTGGAAGAAATATCACTTCAGAATTTATTACTCTGCCGACAGCGCTTATGCTCATTATGATTTTATTATAATTTGTAATTGAGAATTGGTGTCCAAAGACAAGGACTTCCCCCCCAATTTTTCCAGTTAAAAAATGGTAAGTTCTTAAAGGAACATTAAATATTCTTGCATCACTCCAGTTTCATGCCACTTTTACATTTTAAGCATATATAAACTTCAGTAACTGAAAATAAAAGAAAAAGAAATCATGTAAGAATTAATGACACGTGACATTGCAAGATTATGTTAGACATTTAACTTCCACATTACAGATGACTTGTCATGCAAAAAAAAAAATTTACAAATTTTCATGCAAATACAAAACAATGCCAAGATGAGTAAAGCCTGGGGTTAAAATGTAGACACAGATGGACATGTAGGAAGCCTTTGAGAAACAAAACGGGGCCACGTGCAAACTACATCATTTAAATTGTCTCACGGGGTCAAAGGAAAATGAAAATGTGTTGCCTGTGATACATTCTTTTATCTTTTCAAAGCAGGGGCTGTAATGTGTTAACATTTCCCAAGTATGAAAATGCTGTGTATCATGAGTCATCTGATTGGGACGTAATATTTAGCACCACACTTGTAAAAGAACAGAAAATACATAACAATTCCTCAAAAATAAAATCATCTAACATATCAGTCTTATTACCCAAAGCCATTTTGTACTGAAGTTAAAGAAAAGGTAATGGAACCATTGGTGTTTACATTAATGGACACAAGATCAAATCACTTTAATGCACACTCACAGATATAAAAGTCACGCATTTAGGGTCTTAGTTCAACATTTCAACTATAAGAGGGTATATGTGGTTGACAATGTTTTAACACTATTCTTTATTTTTTATTAGACATGTTTAATACTACTATATAAATTTTTTTTTTTGTTGCTGTTTATTTTTCTTTTAGTAATTTAGAAAAGGAAAATCTGTTACACCACCATTAGGTGAGAACAATAAATTAGCACTTTTACTATTTATAGAACACATGACTCTAAAATGACTGAAGGCTGGTTTATAGCTGTCAATCACACTGATCAAGGTCATTTTTTTCTTTACATTACAATATCTTAAATCCCCATCCATTACTTTCCTGGCAGGAAACTTCTCTGAATAGAGATTTTTAAAATGCCAATCACGTGACAAGTGGCAAATTCGCTTATCTAAAAATTCCATTTTGGAATGTGACCTGAATTATTGAGTTCAAATGAACAAAAGTCCTAAAAACAGCAACAACTAATGTTTATTGAGCAATTATTATGTGTTAGGGTTGGTTCTAAAAGCTCTTCATATGCTAACCTCCACAGTAACTTTACGAGGTTGGAACCATCATTATTCCCATATTATAGATGAGGAAACTGAAGTCTACAGATCTTCTGTAATTTGTCCAGAGACACATACTTGGTGAGTAGGATCTGAATTTGCCAGTATTTCTTGTTCTTATGAGCAAGATAACTTTCTGTAACCAAAGCCTATTTCAAGTTTATATTTAAAACTATTAGCATTTGACTCTCTTGAGTTATACCATAATCGGTCATCATTCCCATAGTTTCACTGCTTGGCAATTATTATTTTTTAGCCATCAGATGCTATTGGCTTCCATAATATTTTTGTGGGTTACCCTTTTTAGATACCCATTTATGTTTTTGAGGGCTCTATTCTATTGTGCTTATTCTTATAATAATGTAAAAAAAAATAAAATAAAAAGTATTTCAATGAAACAGGTTATGAACAGGATTGAAGGGAGGAGATTCAGGAAGTGGGAAGTGATAACTAATGAGTATGGTGTTAGTTTTAGGGGAGATAAATGTGTACTCCAATTAGATTGTGGGGATGGGTGCAGAACCCTATGAATATACTAAAAACAATGAACTGTACACTTTAAGTGGGTGCATTGTATACTGTGTAAATTATATCTCAATAAGCCCATTAAAAAAACAAAACAAATGGAACCCCTCTCCCAAACTCACACCATGGGATGAGAGGAAACAATCACAGCATGTTTTCAATTTTATTTGATGTAAATATTTTTATTTGCGTAAATATTTCTTATCTTTAATTGAATGAAAGGAAACCACCCTTCCCAACCCTTGCAGTCAATCAGATATACATGCCTTGTTTTATCTGATTCTGTTGTGTCTCTGTTAAATGAATACCTTTCATGTTGTGACAGACATTAGAACACCCACACCAGGAGTCAGCATATTATCACTGTCACTCAGAAGAATTTTCTAAATTGTTAGGTCAAATGGCACAAAATTGCCCAGCCTGACCCCACGATGTAATGGCATTTGTGAACTGGCTTAAAATAAAATACACACTCACAAAGAACAAAAGGAAACAAAGCAAAAAACTCAAATTGCTACTTTCCCCACTTGAATCCCATGTTCTTAAGACATGTGAGTGAATCTTGACATATTTTTATCCTTCCCATCCAGAAAGCTTTATAAGCTTGAATATATTTTAGTTTTCTTTCCGTCTTCCTGTTCTAATTTTTCAAGCCTCTAATGTTTCATGGTTCTAAAATGTCACCTTATGACATGAATGTCCTCTGGGCAGAATTTACATTTAAATTTATATTGAGCTCAGACACACCTTTTTTGTGTGGCCTCCTTATTTTTTTATAAATGCTTCTTTCCTCTTAATTCATTCTTATCTTCCCTCCTCTGAAATAATTGTGTTCTTGACATATTGTTACTACAAATTTGGGATACCACATTGTAAAGCAAGAGAGGTTCAAGAACAAGTAATAACGAGACAAATAGGTTAAGGGCAAGACAAGAATTGGCTTGAGATAAATCTGTTCCTAGAAATGTGTCTCTATAAATGTGTGTATACATATATGTAGTGTCCGTAATATTGTCCAATTCAAAAAAGGTTTCTTTTTCAATCTTAAGAATTAATGGATCTAAGCATTGAGCATCCATAGCTGGTAACATCACACACACATGAGGACAATCAGATGATATGTGCTTCCTTATGGGAGAACAAAATATTACTGTAAAGTAGTTCTGTAAACCTCTACATGCAAACAAAAAGAAAACAGAACAAATCTACCTCGCCCAATAAATCTGAATCTAATCAAACCTCTAGATGCAATTACTAGTTTACAGATAAATAAAGAGGACAGAGAAACACAATAAATTAATCTAAAAGGAAATTCTGGAGCAAATTCCCCAATAAAAAACCTGATTTCTTAAATACAAAAATTAAAGAAAACAAGAAA